ACAGACAAACAAAGCATCGGTGGGAGCCATTATTCTAAACTGGCAAGGACATTATGTTTCGGCTATGACTGCCCCTATGATAGACTGTTTTTTGCCCCTAATGGCATAGGCCTTTGCATGCAAGGAAGTTTTGTCGTGGCTAAGAAGTCACGAAATAAAGTCTATCGAGCTCTTCACGGATTGTTTGGTGCTTCAACAATATTTATCATCTATGACACACTCATCAAGATCGTACTTGGGTTATACCATTGATAGTTGCAGGACTAGTATATTATCTTTTGATTATTGTTTACTTCATTATGTTCCTAGACTAGATAATTATTTAGCTCATACTCTAGCATCTACTGCAATTACTCAGTCAACTAGTATGTACTCGGACTATGATCCACCAGCATCTATTTCTGCATATTTTGAATAAATGCCGTACAGGCTCCTTTCAAAAAAAAAAAAATAGAAAATATATCTTCCGTATAAATAATTTATATAACTGAGTTGCTAGACAACGAGCTAATTAGCCCAATTAATACAAATTATAAACACTGATATATAAAATCTCTAAAGTTGCAACACCGAATGCGTATATCTACACGTTAGCTATTAATTGGGCAATTATTTATTCGAATTCAAGCATTGATAACATCAGAAAACATAATCGGTGCAACTCAATTCTTCAATTATATTATATAATATTTGATTTTATAATTTATACAATTGTATATCGATATAAATATTTTTAAAATTTTATAACAAATTCATTCCGTGCAACGCACGAGCGCAAATACTAGTTAATATGAATACAATAAATGTTTTCACATTTGGAGGGAAATTTTTTGAGAATTACATTAATCTATTTATAAATTAATATGAATACAATAACTGTTTTCACATTTGGAAGTGAAAATTTTTGGGACAATTATTTTGCTTTATTAATATATATATATATATATATATATATATATATATATATATATATATATATATATATATATATATATTAAATCAATCCTTAATACAAAATATATAGGCTGATTTAATTTAAATGATTTAATTAACGATAATCTAATTTAATTAAGAATGATTATTTATAATACTAAATATATAAGCTAATTTAATTTAAATGATTTAATTTCATTAAGGATGATCATTTGTAATACTATATATATATATATATATATATATATATATATATATATATATATATATATACTAGTATTTTTTTATGCGCGATGCGCAAAAAATATGTGCCCAATATTAGTATTTTATATTAAGATTTTGATATTTAAATAATAATAATAATAATAATAATAATAATAATAATAATAATAATAATAATAATAATAATGTAAAACATTTTTATAAATTTGATATTTATATGGTAGGAAATAACTAACATATAACTCCAATATATAATGTATATTATTATTATTATTATTATTATTATTATTATTATTATTATTATTATTATTGTTATTATTATTGAAGAAGAAGAAGAAGAAGAAAAGAAAATATAGGGTGGATGCATGTGCATGGTAACAATGGTGGAAAAGATAACGGAAGGGGTATGTTTGTCCAAAATATTGTAAAGTACAACTCTTATTGCATAATGTATAAAAAAACTTAACGAAAAAAAAAACGGACATAAATGAAGGGTATAACTTTCCTCCACACTTATTATGTTTTTAGATACACACACACACACACACACACACACACACACACACACACACACACACACACACACACACACACACACATATATATATATATATATATATATATATATATATATATATATATATATATATATATATATATATATATATATATATATATATATAGGGTGATTTAATTTAATTGAAATACTATACTATAATAAGGATTATTATTACTATAATAATAATAATAATAATAATAATAATAATAATAATAATAATAATAATAATAATAACCAACATTATATTCTTCTTTTACTCAACATGTTAAATGACATGAATTTATTTATAAATTGACTAATTCATAATATAGTATAGTATTATAGTATGATATTATTATTATTGTTATTATTACTATATTAAATAGTAATTATAGTAATAATAATTCGTTAAGGCTAATAGGATGCATGATTCTGCGTTTCTGTATATGAAAAATTTGTTCTGTATGTGAATTATTATTACTATCATCTATATAATAATAATAATAATAATAATAATAATAGTTTTTAATATATATTATGTCCGTTTACTCAACATGTTAAATAACATGAATTACATGAATCTATTTATAAATTAATATGAATACAATAAATGTTTTCACATTATTCTTTTACTCAACATGTTAAATAACATGAATTACATGAATCTATTTATAAATTAATATGAATACAATAAATGTTTTCACATTATTCTTTTACTCAACATGTTAAATAACATGAATTACATGAATCTATTTATAAATTAATATGAATACAATAAATGTTTTCACATTTGGAGGGAAAATTTTTGGGAATTACATGAATCTATTTATAAATTATAGATGAGACTCAAACTCACAACCTCCCACATGGGAGTCCAACCCGAGTACCATCTGAGCACAAGATGCTTCACACACACACACACACACACACACACACACACACACACACACACACACACATACACACACACACACACACACACACACACACACATATATATATATATATATATATATATATATATATATATATATATATATTTGGTTCCTGTGAAAACAGGTTTTCCCGTGCGGTTTGTGCAACATACACCATTAGATATGCATAAATACACCATACAGTATTCGAGAATACACCAGAATGAAATGTCAAAAAATGCACCACACAACAAAAAATACATCACACATAATGGTGTATTTTTGAACACTGTGTTGTGCATTTATGCATACCTAATGGTGTATGCCATACTGACCACACGGAAAGACCTGTTCTCATAGAAACCTGACCCTATATATATATATATATATATATATATATATATATATATATATATACTAGTTTTTACGCGATTGGGATAATGCCCAATGCTTTTTTTTTTAAATAAGTACTTTAAAGTATATGAAGACAAGATTATATTGAAATTGTTCATGCATCGATAATTGAAGGTTGAATTTGCGTATTTAAATAAGTAATTCTTCTCCCAAAGGTTGAGTCCCCAACCCCAATGGCCCCCCACACTCCAGCCCGACAGAGCTTTGTGGGAAGTTGTAAATCACGGTGACTCAATGGTTCAGCAGACAGGGTCAAATGATAGGTAATTCTAAGTTTACAAATGCAAGATAATATAGTCAAGATTGATTATAATTGTCAATAAAATAATTGTATAGGTATGGTTGAAACCAAATACGGGACATAAGGGAGAACAAATAAAAATTAGGGCATAAAATATTAAATATATACTAATATTGTTTGAGAAGATTCCGACATTAGGATTTGTGGTTAAGTTCTATTAAGACTTTATTATTAGAATTAGATTAATGGTGTAGTTATAATTCTATATTAGACTTTAATATTAGAATTAGACTAAGGGTGAATTAACGGAAAAATTAAATGGATAATCATATAATTAAGGATAAATTAGAAAATCTTAAAAGAAAAAAATTAAAACCTGAACAATATGAACCATTCATTTGATTTAATAATTTGGCGGTCATTTTTTCTACCCAATGTTAATAATTAAATAAATTCGCTGGTCAAATCCACTAGTATAATCCGCTAACCATAACCGCTAACTGCTGATTGTCAAACAAGGACATTGCGAGTTAGTTCTCACTTCAATTTGTTGTGTGATTTGAATACTCTCTTTGTCACAAAATCTCTCAAGTAGTTAATATGGTTGGCTTTATTAATTATATTTTTTTTTAATTTTTTCATGGTATTAATAAAATACTTGGTAAATAAATATATAGCATTATTTTGTATTATAACTTTGATATTTAATTAGAAAAACAATGCACAAAAAAGATAATAGATAATGTAGTGAATAGAATCAATTAATGAATTTGAATGTAAAAACTTTACATTTGAGAAAAATAAAGACAATATAACTAATGAAAATATTTCTTTTAATTAATTTATTGATAATTAATAATTTTTTTTTCACTGAATAAAGACATTGTAAGGATATATAGCGAATATAATCAATTAATAAATTTGAATATAAATAATTTTTATATTGAAGAAAAATAAAGACAATATAACTAATAAAATTATTTCTCTTACTTAATTTATTGATAATGAATAATTTTTTTTTTTGAATAAAGGCATTGTGGACACATAATTATAAATTAAAGAAATACATATGTATTATTTTTTGTTGTAACTACTAAATTATTATTTATATAATAATTTAATAAGAGTAAAATAAAGTACTAATTATGCCAACTTTGATTGGGATGAGGTTCGAATCTAAGACTTTGTTCTATTGAAATCAATGAGTAAGTTAACGGTGAACTAACGGCAATTCTTAAAATTTTAACGGAATTAGTAACGGTGTGTGGGTATTTTAAGAAATTTTAGTGTAAAATTTAAATCTGATCAATCTTTCAATCAATATGAGCCATTCATTTGATTAAAATCTATGACCGCCATTTTTCTACCCATTATAGACCTAACTCTCTTGGGCTCTTATTAGTATAGTAGATAGATAGTTGATATATATATATATATATATATATATATATATATATATATATATATATATATATATATATATATAAAGTAAAGTATACTCCGTAATAAACAACAAAAACAACAAAATTTCCGGGGTCAATTGACCCCACTACTTCCTACTTAGCTCCGCCACTGGTAACGTAACTACAAAGGTGTGTATGAATGAGAATACTTTTGTATCCATTTATATATGTGTAGAAATGGAGTCTCATACTGTGTACAAAATATACAAATTAATAAAGAAGTTAGCAAACCAAACAGGGCATAAGAATTTAGAAAAGCCAGCTGTCAAAGTGAAGTCCATTTGTTAGAAGGGAGCTGTCAACAGCACTGGATCCAAACCCCTCAACGCATATACTGCTTTGCTTCTCTCTGCTCTCACTGTTGCTGAGCTCGTCTTCGTTGCTGATGAGGTAAATTCACTCCGCCTTTTTCACAAACAATTCGTACGCACACAAGTGTATGTATATATGTTGTATGTGTATTGATATTGGCGTATGTGCAGGTAAGGAGAGAGAGAGACAGCGAGAGCGAGCGAGAGCGAGCGAGTTGGTGTTTGTTTTAGAGAGAGAAAACATGGAGGAGGAGCACCGCGAGGAGGAAGTGCTTGGCTCGAGCCTTACGATGGAGAAGGTCGCCGCCGCCAAACAATTCATAGAGAACCACTACAAGAATCAGATGAAGAGCATCCAGGAACGCAAGGAAAGGTGAGTGATAGGATTTAATTAACCCAGGTGGTCCGAATTATTAAACCCGATAAATGAAGGAAATAGTAAATGGATAATAAAGAATGTTTGGGTTTTGCGAGATCTAGAGTGTCGTACTAAAATTCCGTTTATGGCTCCCTTGGATTTCGGTATTTCTGAAGTTCATGTTCATCGAATAAATTTGGTTAGGTTTATGGGTTTGTTAATTCCTTGTCAATGTTGCGATTAACTGAAATGGAATGGCTGAGTCCAACAAAGGACTACATATATGAGAGTAAATAAGAGGATTCATCATAGCAATTCATTTTTTTTTTTTTTTTTTTTTTTTTTTTTTTTTTTTTTGGGCTTGAATCTATAATTTTCTAGATGGGAGGTGATTTATATGTGTTCATGTTAGATGGGCGATGCCTAGGAGAGGTGTGGTTTTATTGATTTAGTGATTCAAGCTATTTAGATGAATGCAGTTGAAGTTGTGCATTGTGAAGTTTAGAACTCAATATTTTAGTGTTCTAACTGAAGATTACCACATCTACTTTGCTTCTCGTTTGATCTAAACAAAAGCTGTATGTTTTGAAGGTTTTCTGCTATTCTCTGTTGTTTGACTCTGTCAAATAAGTAGACTGACGAGTCTGTTAGAGCAAAAGTTCCTTAATTGAGGTCAATGTTCTAATAAGTCTAGAATGGGCATGTTTTGGTAATATCCCCGAGTTCCTGACTAGTCATTCTTGAAGTCAATGATGACTAGGTTTTCAAATGGTCTCGAGTCTGTGTTAGAGCAGAAGTTCCTCAATTGATGTTAACGTTCTAATAAGTCTAGAATGGGCGTATTGTGGTACTATCTTGACTAGTCACTATTGAAGTCAATGATGACTAGGTTTTCAGATGGTCTTTTGTGGGTGATATCTATTTATGGGACAAAAGAAGCCAAAAACCTGTAGAAATAGTTGAAATTGTGAAACCAGCTGGCACTATGAGATACAAACCCAGGCTTATAGAAATTCTGAAATGGTTGGACCAAAGGTCTTTTCATGGAAAAAAGGGAGGCAAAGTTGAAGTTCAAGCACTTTTCAAATATTTGTGTGAGCCATGAATGGGCCTTCACGGATTAATCATGGAGGTTGTCCAAGATGAGGTTTGTGTTGTACACTCGTATGTGTCTACATATTATGGAAAATGGCAAGAGCAATAATGAAAAATAAATAGAACATACATTGAGACTAAAGATGTGAAGGATGAGGGAATTTAACTTATCCAGTCAAGAGAGTCACAAGTTTACAACTAGGGACTGTGTTGCCATTAAGACAACATCACGAAGCAGCATTTCCTTTTCTAGTTTTTTTGTTTTCCCCCCCATAAGTTTTTGTCTTCTTCTTTATTTTTTATTTTATTACTATTGTCTTTGAGTGCAATTGACCTTCGAGTTTTGATTTGATAAATCTAATGCAACTATCAAGTTTTTCGTGGCACATTGGATATCCTAGAACTACTGTGTTAAGTTTTCAGCGAGCTTCATAGCTATGATTTTATTGTGCAAATATGTTTCACTTTTCCATTATCTCGTCATATGTGCTTTAATGAAAAAGTTGCCAACTAGGTTTCTGTATTTTTTGAAAAAATGAAGATATTTATAGCTGTGTAAAACTCATAAAAATTGAGCTTCCCTAGAAATTAGATTGCCTTTTCTATTGTTAAAAATGTCCCCCCTCCCCTCTCTCTATCTTCTTCTTTGCTGAAATAGCTATTCTCTTTCTTCTTGCTTATATTGCATATTGATTGTTAAAAATTACCTAGATCTGGAAGTCTTTCGGTATTAATAAAATTAGTAACTTCATCCCATGGTAACATTGTGGGAAAGTGCATTAATAGGGCACTTACACTCTAGATTTGGATTATTTATTATTTATTTGTTTTGTTTGTTGGTTTTTTTTTTTTTTTTTTTTTTTTTTTTTTTTTTTTTTTTTTTTTTTTGGTAATGTCACTTAGTATTGATAATTTACTTTACCTGTAGGCGGTGGATTCTAGAAAGAAAACTAGCAACTTCTGATGTGCCTAAAGAAGAGCAAATAAATCTGATAAAGGATTTAGAAAGAAAGGAGACTGAATATATGAGGCTGAGGAGGCACAAGATATGTGTGGATGATTTTGAGCTTCTAACAATTATTGGTAGAGGAGCCTTTGGTGAGGTTCGTGATTTTATCACATTGATATCAGTAATTGCATGTGACCTTGAGCATGATTAAATCTGCAATTTCTAGTAAACTTTTACTTCTAAACTAATTTGCATATGATTTTATTGGGAGAAGTTTGGTATGGATGAAAGGGCAGTGGCGAAACGATGTTGAATTGGTTATCAATTGTGTGTGATTTTATTTTTCAAATTTACATTGCAGGTCAGGTTATGTAGAGAGAAGAAATCGGGGAATATTTATGCCATGAAGAAGTTGAAGAAATCTGAAATGCTCACAAGAGGACAGGTGAAGAATCCTTCTACATGCCAGAGGATTTGCATATTTAATAACTTTCTTGATTTGGACATGTTTCATTTAATAACCCCCTCTCTGACAAACCTTGCTTTTCTTTTTATAGGTGGAACATGTGAGAGCCGAGAGAAATTTACTCGCAGAAGTGGCTAGTCATTGCATTGTAAAGCTATATTACTCATTCCAAGATGCTGAATATCTTTATCTTGTGATGGAGTATCTACCAGGTGGCGACATGATGACTCTTCTAATGAGAGAGGACACATTGTCTGAGAATGTGGCTAAATTTTACATTGCTCAGAGTGTACTTGCCATAGAGTCAATTCACAAGCATAACTATATTCACAGGTGCACTTTCAGCTTCTGACTGTATGAGCAGACTGTATTTAAAACTTGTCAAAAATTGAGAAAGATAACATATACAAGCTGAAATATTATTATTTTCCTTTAGAGTGCACCTTTTTAGTTCTTCAAATAAACTGTGTTGAATTTCTATTTAATGCACTTTTCCCCCCTTTTCTGTAGGGATATCAAACCTGATAACCTTCTTTTGGATAAAAATGGTCACATGAAGCTCTCTGATTTTGGTCTTTGTAAGCCCCTTGATTGTAGAACGCTATCTACGTTAAATGAAAATGAAGCTATGGATGATGAGAACATAAGGGACCCAATGGACATTGATGGCAGCTTCCCTGATTCGCGCAATAGTAACTGGAGAAGTCCCCGTGAACAGCTTCAGCATTGGCAGATGAACAGAAGGAAGTTGGTATGACATATTGCCTATGATCTTATTTGGTTTTGACATATTTGATATGTTTAGTCTGATGGGAATTTTAAAAATGACTAAAATTCGAGAATTTGTTATTTGTATTGCTGTCTTAATATAATTGCAAGATGATCTGAAATAAAAAGAAATCTTGAATTTGAATAAGGAAGATGTTTGGCTGCATTTTGCTGCAAGTCTGTCTCTTATTGATGACATTTTACCATATTTCTGATTGACCACTTCTGCACACAAATGAAGTCAGGTCAATCTACAAATTAGAAGGCTGGATTTTCCTGGATGAATAGTTTAGTAAACTGTTGACTTAGCTTTGGCAAAGGCCTAAAACCTATCGTGATGCTATATGAAGTTGTGCTATTTTGTTCACTAATCCATTTAAGATATGCCTTTGTGACCTGAACTGTTGTTCACTGCAAAATTATTCTTCCTTCGTAATTATGACCATATTTTTCTTTCTTTTTATTTCAAAAGGCATTTTCTACAGTGGGCACGCCAGACTATATTGCTCCTGAGGTTCTGTTGAAGAAAGGATATGGCATGGAATGTGACTGGTTAGTTATTATTATTATTCTTATTATTATTATTATTTTTCATATCATACTGCACATTCTTTAATATATTTTTTTGCTTAGTTTTTGCATTTTTGTATGTTTGTTTTTTGTTTTTTTTTTTTTGTTTTGTTTTGTTTTTGGGTGCATTATCCAATGAAAATGGCTTCTTGTTGAATTGCTGCATGATGTTTCTTTTCTCAGTTTGCTTACCATGCAACTCATGGTCATTGTTGTGTCAACTCTTTTGTGTGTGTGTGAGCCTTCTCCTTGTTACATGTTAATATGTTAGAAAGTATTTTTTACATTTATCCTAAAAGATAGGAAATGTATTTTGGGGTCTGATTGAACTCGAGCTATGGCAATGGTATTATAGGCATAGCTTTCTTTTGCTGTTATTTTCTGAAGTAGAAACTACCTGGTCTGTTTTAGTCAGTTCTGGACAACACAATCTGTTATCACGAGAAGTGAAATAATCTGCTTTTAATGTTGTTTCTTGTCTGTTTATATATTACACAACATGCAGGTGGTCCCTTGGTGCAATTATGTATGAAATGCTCGTTGGTTATCCCCCATTTTACTCAGATGATCCCATAACTACTTGCAGGAAGGTAACATACTTGCTTTGAATTGCAAATAAAACACACATGCTGACATGCTCAATCTATCCATCTAGGTTTCTTTTTTCCATATTAAACAGCTAATTGCCTAATTATCATAATCAAAAGTTGGTTAAAATTTGTATTCGAGTATAGTTCTGTTTGAAATGGCCCACCTTCTGTTGAGCTGTATTATTTCATATATGCTATATGGATATGTATGAACCTTTGTACATGCGTTTTATGCAATTAAATGAAACTTTAGGCCTACAAATTGGTTATTTTGGGGTTCGGACCTCCCAATACCTATTTCTACCAGCCAGAATAGGGTGAAAATGTACTAAGAATATACTTCTGCTGGACTCTGCTTTGAATTTAATATACTAATGTTTATGCTATAGATCACATTTACTACTGAAATCTGAAATCTACAATCTTTATAACATGATAGGAGCATTTCATGTGTATGAGATAGTAACAATGCTGAATGATGCTTGCCACTTGTTGCCAAATTAGTGCTTTGTTGTCTGCATCCTGAATGATGTCTTGTCATATACTGGCAGATAGTTCATTGGAGAAATCACCTAAAATTTACTGAAGATGCTAAACTGTCACCTGAAGCAAAGGACCTGATATGTAGATTGCTATGTGATGTTGATCATAGACTCGGAACTGGTGGTGCCAACCAAATTAAGGTACTGTTTTGATCAGTTGATTTTTTTGGTCAGACCACGAGGTGTCCTGAGCAGGCCCTAATTGTAGGAGTCACCTTTAAGCCCGTACCATACTCAGACTAATCTCCGTTCGCACCAGGCCGGCCCAATTAAGGGCAAAGTGCTGACCAAATTTGTTTTTCCATACGAGAGGGGGTTCGAACTCCCGACCTTTCTTAAGGGACGAGAGTGCACGGCCACTCACGCCAACCAAGCTGGTTTGTTTTGATCAGTTGTTTGTTACCAGCTTATTAGTTTCTTCACTGCTCATTACAAATTACTTGTATCAGGCTCATCCTTGGTTCAAGGATATTGCGTGGGATAAGCTGTATGAAATGGATGCTGCCTTCAAACCCGAAGTTAATGGGGAGCTAGACACTCAAAACTTTATGAAGTTTGATGAAGTATTTATGCAAACCTCATGCTTTTCTTTTCTTTTCTTTTCTTTTATAATTTCAAGTATCATGATTATACTTATCTTCATTCCTGTTAGATTACGATACTTTAGACCGTAACTATGTTTTTTGATAGTCTTATTTCATTTTAGCTGATAGATTTCTAATTCTACCGAATTATCTTCATGATATACTTGATGGGTGTTTTAAGTCTTAACTCTGTTATTAAATTTCTGGACTTGTCATTAGTTGGATCCTCCACCTGCAAGAACAGGATCTGGGCCTTCCCGTAAGGTTTGCAACTTTTGTTCTCATCTCTACACATTTCAAGTCCTTTTACATACACAATTTTCCTTCCTATGCAAGAGTATAAGTAGTAAGAAGTATATGGTCCACAACTCAATTAAAAGCTCAAGTGGTTAGTAAAGATACACGTTCTTTTATATTTATCCTCAACTCACCCCCTCACATGTGGGTCTAATTTTATACTCCGTAGTACTCTTTAGTTGGAGTGTTATAGTTTATCTGCACTTAGCTAAAATAAAATTATCTTTATTGAAGAGGGGAATAAAGAAAGAGAATATATTTCCATCCTTGAAGATAGAGAAAACTATTCTGTTGCAATGTTATTAAATTGTTTTATAAATGGTATAGGCTAATTCTCGGGATTAGCACTGGTCTAATAACTGACTATTGAATGCTTGTGTTCTAGAAAGAGAAAAGAGAGAATCTAATAGCCTTTGTAATCTTGCTTTCAGATGTTATTGACTTCCAAAGATTTAAGTTTTGTGGGCTATACATACAAAAACTTTGATGCTGTGAAGGCACTGCGCAACTCTTCTGGTGAGTGCCCTACTCGGTCTTTGCAGCCACCCTTATACTTTTCACATGTGCAAACACATTTTTCATCTTAACAATACATCAGTTAAAACATTAATTTTGTCAGAATCTTGCAACACAAATTTCTTCCCCAACACCCACACCCCCCCCCCCCCCCCCCCCCCCCCCCAAAAAAAAAAAAAAAAAAAAAAACAATTAAGAGGCTCGTGCAAATAATCAGATTATTGACTTTGTAGATCTTATGAGGAGTACATCCCCTAGAAGGCCCTCAATTGATTCTATTTTTGGTGAGGAATCCGTTTCAAGACCATAAATCTCTCGATGCTTAAAAGTTGCAAACCGGCCTAATTATACTTTCTGCAGGTGATCCGAAGGAGGGTCTGGGAACAAACAGTGCAGCAGCAGCAGGGGAAACAGATGTACAAATGATCGCATCAACTGGTGATGCGATGTTGCCATAACAAAGCTTGTGTTTTACAAAACATATTAAGGGGATGTAGCATATATCTGCGTATTTTTATCAGGTTTGCTCTTCCCCGTTCCATTTTAGATGTTTGCCCTATGTTTAACGAACCACCATGTAATTGTACAGAGTGCTTGAAAATCTGTGTAATAGTGGATTAACTTGTAGGGCATGAAATTTACTAGTTAGGAAGGTTTGTGCAATAGAAACTTAGAATAGGTGGGTATGTCATTTGTGTCCCGGCTGCCCAGGTTGGCAATTGAATTTTGCTTTCTCTTGTGGCAGTTTTTGGTCGGACCATTTGATAAATTGGAAAACATTCACTCTCTATTCTGCTAGCTAGAGGAACTATTCTAATGTGATAGCAATCTACTAGCTACTAGCTATGGAAAAGCTTTATTTATTAATTGCTAGCTTGCTGCACTATATTGCTTGCTGTTGTGTTTCTTTGGATTTGTATATGCAAATTTTGATTAGGTCTGTTTATACTTTAGTAACTATTTGTGCTATTAGAGTTATTTTGGTTTGAAGATTGTGAAAAATTGGAAAAAATAAATGTAGAGAGTGTGCTTTCCTGAAATGGGATTTGAGAACTTGATTCTAAATTATTCGAAACTTTGTGTTACTAGATGCTTACTGGGGGGCGGGGGGCCATGGTATTAAAAGACAAAAATTGAAGCTATTCTTTACCTTGTATAAGAATACTGCAAGTAACAATATAAAAAGTATCTTCACTCATAAGAAACTTTATGTACATCAAAACCAAAACAATTTGGAGAGTGGAGAACCAACTTTGTTGCATGGAAACATATTTGTAGAAGTAGAAAAACTTCATAAAATCTTTTACTCCTTGTCTTGTGTATTTCTTTCTCATCATCTTCATCCGTTTACTCCTCCAAGGTGCACCTTTGCCCTTGCACTTATCTTCTTCATCTTTGCTTTCAACACTCAGATTTTCAATAAGTCCTTTTTGGTCTTGGGAAAAATAGAAATAGAAATTTAGGTGAAACACATTTTACAAAGGAGTTTTGTCTATTTTTGTTCGAGTTTTAAAACTTATTCTAGTTCTGCCTATTTTTCCTTGAATAGCTTTGCCCTAAGCCCCTAACTTTTAATGAGTGATGAACTAGACGCCCATCCTCCCTCTACAGAAAACTAGAAAAGCAACATGAAAACTATAAATAAGATTGAGTATGTGTTTGGTTCATGGGTTTATATACACACTAAGAATGAGAATCAAAATCATAGTTAGTGTTTGGTTGATAACTTTTTAAAACACAACTATGGATTTGATTATCCCTTTAGTTAAAAACATCATTCCCTAATTAAAATCGGTATTATTCCATCTTATTGGTAATATGATTTTTTAACTTTGGATCAATGCTTTTAGATTTTTGTTTTGATTTTTTTTTTTTGTTCATATTGGTACTTTGGATGCCATTATATTAGGATCAATTATTTTGATTTTTTTTTGCTTTTGTATTTTTAAAACCTTTATTCCATTCCCAAAAAAAAATAAAAAAAATCTTTATTCCTATTTTAGGGTTATAAATAACCAAACATCAATATTAGTAATCATTCCAATTCCATATTTCTACCAAACATGTAAAATATTTTTACCAAAATTTATTACCATTACCGAATATTTGATTCCTATTTTGAATTGATTATCATGTTCGAATCAGACACTCTGGATTCAAGATAGTAGATTGAGAAAATATATTTAAACATATATAATATATAATAGGGTCAATAGTACTTAAAAAAAAAAAAAAAAACAAAACAAAACTAGATGAGCGTAAAATAAGAAATATCACAAGTGTTAAATTTTTTTCTCATTCAATGGATGCCTTTTACCTATGAAAGATAAAATAAGTAAAGGTGAATACAGGACAGAGATGTATTAAAAGGAAGAACGTGTATCTATATTCAATCAATTTGCTATATAATGAGATGTAGGGCAACCTGTGCTCCACTGTCCTCGCCTTCATCTTCCTTCTTCGGAAATGTTGGCTCTGTGCTGCTCGCCATAGCTCTTAGCTTACTTCCCTGCAGTCTGTACAGTGTTTCTCAATGGGAGAAATTTTTTGCGCTTGGAGAGAGATTTGGGTGAAAAATATTGGACCGCAACAAACGGATACTTGGGCTAGATGTAATCTGAAACCCAATAGGCCGTTGTTATTTTAATCCAAAAATTGAAGTCCACCAAATAAAATGATCTCGAGGAAAAATATCAATTGTTACAATCATTATTGTGTGGACCATGGTCTACACAAGTTGTGTGGACCATATTTTGTATACTCTAAAATAATGTATATTCAGTACAAAAATAATGTAAATTCAGTATAAAAATAATGTACATCGTATTCAGGGAATGTACATTATTTTTGTTCTGAATGTACATTATATTGTATAATGTAAGTTCAGTACAAAAATAATGTGCATTTAGTATATTAAAAATGTACTTTTTGTTATGGTCCACATAATATTGTGTGAACCATGTTCCACACAATAATTGTTATATCATGGATTCAAAAATTATGTGTCTGCATTTAACACATTCTATACCTGTAAACATGGTAATTACAGACACAAAAAATAGTAACTACATACATATAAACTGTTAACGATAGGTACACAATAGGTTAATTGTAGACACATAATATATTGTTAATATATTAAGTGTGTACAATTAACTGTTTATGTATATGTAGTTATCATATTTATATTATTTTTGTTGTTTTAAAATATAATATTAAGTTAGTATATTGTAATGCCCGAATCTCACACATTTTCAAGGATAGTTATATTATTCTAGACATTTTCCGCACTTATACATAGTTTCTCCCGTTTGTAGAATTTTTCGAACCATGTACATAACACTGGAGATGTAAAGATTTATAGAATCTTCTAAAATATTATAGAACTCATAGGATTGTATAGATTTTTAAAGATGATTCTAAATAGAATCATAGACATTAGATCAAGTAGGTCACTTGAGGTAGAATGTGTATAAATAGTCGTCATGGAGTGCTGGAGGCTCGTTTTGTAAGAATCAAATTCTGAATAAAGCTTACAAGTTCATAAATACTCCTCATTGAGGTCGTCATTAGTTCTAAGAATATATATATATATATATATATATATATATATATACACACACACGTGTGTGTGTGAGGCACCGAATACTTTTTCATATATACACAGTTATCTGGTACAAAGAGGGCTATACAATTGGTGGATAAATGTAAATAATCCACTAAGTACAGGAAAATTATGTTGGAGAGGTTGATGTGTTCACAGAAATTGGGAGAAAATTAAAGTCATAATGGGAGGAAATATATACACAATATATATAGTGTGTCCTGTCATGATTGCTACTGAGGTCACACTTCCCCAACCTCAATGAGGTCACTTCTATAATTTTGTCCAACCAATCTTCTATAAATAAGCATAATAAATATTTAATTAAAAAATTGTTATGCCTCTTTCACCTGAAGCCAAGAGGGCCAAGAAAGCATAAAACAATGTTATATTATATGATTGCAATCTTTTTCCATGAGTATTGAGTAGCATCATTCAAAGTCCAATTAATGTGTTTAATACCATTGTTACTCACCTAAAACCCCATCAAATCTTTGATAATCATCTTGTTTATTCAAAGATAATTTTTTTTGGACTCCTCTCCCATCTAACCTCTTCTAAGTCTAAACTTCAATGCCACAACAATCTTCATTATATATATTTGACTTCACTAAATTCTTGCAAAGTTCACACATGCTTTTGACATTAACCTATGTGTGGATTTCCAATAATAATATTTTCTGCTATTATTGATACTTTAATATTGTATCTGCTTATATTGGAAAAATTATTCCATTTTTGCTATTTTAAGTATTAAAAAAATAATTGTAAAGTTTAACAAAATATCCTATTACTTTAGGAATTTATATGTTTAGAATTTGGTTGCACTAGCATGACTTTTTTTTTGGTGTGGTTTTCATCCAAAATGTTTTGCTTTTTAGGAGAAAGAAATAAAATCCCACTATTACTTAGACTTTGTGAAAGTTGTAATTTAGCGGTGGATGGAAAGAAGGTTGGGAATGAAAATTCCCGGAGATGTCGATCTCACAAGGATGACAACTTAATTGGTGTAAGTGCAATGCTTTCAAGGGAATGGATTCAACTAAAGATAACTAGGCGTAGAGTGTACAACATGCGCAAGTGCAAGGGATAGGGTACAACAAGGGAAATAAGACTACAACAAGGAAAAGCGGATAATTGGATTGAATGACTAGACATTATGCATGCTTTGGACTATGGTGAATTTGATGTAACGCACTTATGACTCACTTTTGGGAGTCGTTATGCTTACACTAGGCCGATACGTACCTAGACTCTTAGAACACACCTTAGTGTGACTAAGGCATTTTAGCAAACATCTAGCCTACCGCCTACGCCTCCTCTCGGGCCTTGCCCTCTCGGATTGAAGGACGGGGAATGCAAATACGTAGGACTTCATAGAATTGCAATCTCTTGCCAATTCTACTCTCCTAAACTCCTCACTCATCCCGGTCGGTAATGAGGAGAGGATCGACACAATACATTATTCGCAACAAAAAGCATTCAAGACATATTTGCATCATCTAATCTCTACAACAATTGTGAATCAAGCATACATAATATCTAGATCATCCACTCCAACTCTTAGAAATTCTAGCCACAAATCATTATGAAATTGAAAACACAATTGTAGAAATCCAAATCTAGCAACCTAGATTATGGAATGGAAAGATCAATAATGAAAGTAAAAGATAGAGAAGAGATAGTTACCAAACTAGAATCCACAATTGAGTCTCAATTACATGAAGATGGAGAGAAGTTCATCCACAATCTAGGAGAGTTGTAGATCACTCTCTCACTTAAAATTGAAGATCAGAGAGTAGCTAGTTGAAGCTAAGCTAAATCTAACCTAAAGAGAGAAAGTTCTCTCAAAATCTAAGCTAAAAAAAATCTGAAAAATGAAAGAAGATATGAAAAAAATCCTGCCAAGGCTTCTATTTAAAGTGCTAAAATCTTGCCAAATGACTTTCGGCCTCCGATTCACGCTGCTGTCACGCGCGTGACGCCAGCATGAATGAGTTCCCGAATTGATTCACGTCGTTGTCACGTGCGTGACGCCAGCGTGAATGAGAATCAACTATTGTGGTATTCATGAAAGTTGTATCCCTTTGAGTTGCTATTCCAATGCTAGTTGAATCACCTCATTTAGAAATACCTAGCTCCAGATATGCTCAAATTACCGAATTGTCGCCGAAATGCCCTAAAAATGTCAATATTTTGCTATTTTTCGCAAATGTAACCACAATTAGTCCTTGTTCCTATCGTTAATCAAAATAAGCTATCCTAAGCA